CCTTAAAGTATTCTGATTATGATTCACTTGAAACATTCAGAACAATTTGTTGGCAACAGTTTCAGAAAATGATTTCCAACAGGACTAATTTTCTAATCATAGCCTGCACAGGCCCACACTGCATAGCCTGAAGTAAGAAGGCTGTTTTTTTAAACGTAGTAACACTCACCAAATGTCAATGGTAAAACAGCTTTATTTACATTTATAGAATTATTTCAATCATTTCATTTTTAGAACTCGTGATTGCGTTATGAAGTGCTTATGATCGATACTGTCGATTTCACAAGTCGACTTAATGTCACAACCTGAACGTCGTTCGACGTATCCTTAGAAAAAATGCCTATGAGCCTAATAATTCCCTAACATACATTTAGATCGCTGTCTTTAGGTTTAATAATCGGAACCAGTTCGTAAATCATTAAGTTATAAAATGAAGTGTTTGTGAAAATGGTAATGTACTTTCGGGTTCCATAGAAGATAGGAAATTTCGTGACTAGGCGAGTGACTACTATTTTCTCAAGGAGACTCAGCTTCAAAGAGTTAGGGTCATACATTACTCTAAATTGAAAATTCATCTTAAGCCTGTATTTCTCTCTTACACGCAGTTTGCTTCGTAAAAAGGTGATCTGTTTGCAAAACAGTGATGGTCACTCACTGTCTTCCTGTTACGTAGCACGCGCCACTTTCTGTCACTGTGATCACAGGCCTGTGACGCGTAATCATCATTAGCGAACAGACGTTCTCCAGAGCTACCGAAATGGATCCCTCGTCAGAAACTGCAGACATCGCCAACAGCAGGCTGAAGAAACGTACAGAAATTCACAACTGTTTACTACTAATAATACGCTGAGCTAGTCAAGAAACACCGAATAGTTTATGAAACCAGAAAGTTCATTACCTTGTTCACAACAGCCCACCAACGGTCCTGAGCCAGATTACTCTAATCCACAACATTCAAATATATTTCTCTTAAATAATTTTAATAGTCTATCCTAATAACTACGCCTAGATTTTCTCAGGGTCTGGGCCCTTCAGGCTTACCACCAAAGGTTCTGTATGCATTTCTCATCTTCGTAATAAATAACCAATAAACTAGTTAACCAACTAACTAACAAAGCCGTTCTTTCTCGTATAAATGTTAAGTTTTCATTCTTCATGTAGGATTACAGAAGGTACTATAAGGAAAATACTTCGATCGCAATAAAAGAAAATAGATAAAATGGATATTTTGAGGAAGATTCAAAATTTGAATTCCCTCCGTACAAGAATTTTCATTTTTGTTTGTAACTACAAGCGGTGTGTGAAAGTCGGACGGAATTCGCTCCAGATTCGCTGTAATGTGTGCCTGAGAATACGGATTACAATTAAGGGCCCCATAAACGAATAATTATTAATTCGACCTTTATGCACTATGATATAGGCTTGTCTTTAAAGTGTGTTTAGTATGTGGGAATAATTAATAGCTATTTAAAAAGTTTCTGACTACTGAATTTTTCTTGCGAGTTTTTCCGGCCCGCGATTAAATAATAATTGTTTGTCTCTGCTGTACAAACTTATAAAACGTTCGTCTTTCTGAAGTTTCGGAGATGTTGAAAAATTTTCTGTAGACTTACTAAAAAAACGCTCTGGAATCTTAACTCAGGCCCTCAATGTTCAGCATCCTACTTAGATGCCTTTTCTCTTAAGCATTTAATTCAATTCATTTTAATTATGTTCGAATCTTAATAAGAATTCCAAATACCAAAATTAATTAATAGCCTATACATGAACGGTCAACAAGCAAGCGGCCCTGCTGTCTGATTATGTAAATAAACTGGACCAAATTCCTGGAGTTACATTAAGGAGCCTTCTTCACTACAGCTAAATTTTTAAAGAACGAAGCTCACCTAACCAATATTTAAAAAGTAAATGTTGGTGATCTGGTTTGAAAAGCCATGTGGACTTTTAAGTAGATCCCAACGTTTGGGTGAACAAACTACCTTCACCTTCAACCATGAAAGTCGAAGCAGTATGTTCTTCCGAAACGTTGTTATCTACCTACAAGTCCACCCAGAAGGCCTACATTTAAATCTTCTTCGCCGTTAGAATTTCAAATCCGATTTTTAAATATTCATTTCGTATTAGAATAATCACATGGTGCATGCTGTTTAAGGAAATGACCACGTTTTACTCCTAGAATCACGCGAACCTCGCAAATACACTGTGTGATTAAAATTAGGGGTTATTTGATGTTAGAGTAATGGTACATACAGTTACCACTGTGCTTTAAATTGTTAAACGCGTCGATCTAACGCAGTCATTTCTACGTTATCCAACCACTTTGAAAGTCATACGTTATTGGTTTGCTTTTTAGAACTTTTGTACGAAATTAGGTCCTTGAAATAAGTCTAATTTTTCTGGGGTTTCTTCCCTCGGCCCATTCTATCTTTCTGCAAAGTTCCGCTGTGCGCTGCAGAACACAAAGAGGATTAACATTCATCTGCACCTTCACAGTCTGGAAAAAGCGAGGGATGGGATGAAAAGCTTTCGGCTGTTGATTTAGAAAGCAAATCTTTTAGAGGTGAAAATGATTTTTAAAGGAAGAGAAAATAACATCCTTTAGTCTAACTCATCCTCCATTGTATTTTTTAAGCTAAAATAGCCGTTCGCTTGTTCACAGACACAAAAACAGGCTCCCTTTTAGATTGGAATCAGCCAACAGAAAAACAAAACAATCCCCACGAAAAACTCATTTCCTATGGCACTAGCGTTAATTCCCACTTGGATTGTAAGTAGAATTAACGAAATCTTTCCTCTGTATTTTCACAAGTGTTGGAAAGTAATTTCAGAACAGCAATTCACCTTTTGTTATCATAGGGTGCTCGTACATTCAGATAAGTCCACATATGCGGATTTATTGGAGAGATTTGAAGCAGCTCTATGGAAATGTATAAAGTAGGAGGATTTAGTTTTTATAAGAATCATAAAATTATTTTTCTCTTACTTAGAAACAGGTACTAATGCATTCCCTTCTGACGTGACGAGTTTATGATCCCTAGAGATTATTTTCTTTGCACAGATGAGAAGGTCTGTTCCTTTGTATTTATAGCTCGTTAGTACATAATCTCTTACATTTCTGAGTAGCTACGAACTCCGTGGAGAATAGTTCTTCACGAGAAGCTCAAAATCGCTCAGACAGTTATAAAGTTCATTCAGATTCTCAGACGCCTGTTGCATACAACTTAGACTCCAGATTCTCAGACGCCTGTTGCATACAACTGACTTAGACTCCTTACACACACATACACTGTCTTCATAAATACCGATTCGAGTTTATATCCCAGAATCCAAACGCCTTTCCTAGTCGTCTGCATAAAAGCCAGTACCAGTTGTATTCTGTCACGTAACGATATAAACACATGTGACGGTGAGACGTCACTTATAAGACCAAGAAAAAGATGGAAGTAAGTTACAATATTAAAATGGAACTTTGGCAGGTAGATGGTGAGATGGACGTAGCTGGCAGATCTCTTCAAATTATAACGGCAACACGTGCTCGATCATTGATCTTTATCTACCGTGTCATGACAGCCCACAACTGATTGTATGTGCTTATGATATCTGGCTTCAGCTGTCAGGCGAATGGCTCGCGCGCAGTGATTTGCGTTAAACTTCGCAGTTTCAGTTACCTTACCACCTAAACTGGAATGGACGACAGGTGATTTACCAATCTCGAATTTTCGAAAATAGGACAACCGGTTAGCATTAACATTAACTATTAACACTTTCAGACTGGCCATATCCATCAGCAACTAAAATTCAAATACTTGATTTGAATTGTTTTTTAAAGGGAATGATTTTTGTACATTATGTATTTCTACTATTTATTTTGTGGTTTAAATATTACATTGACATCCTTAATGATTTTATAACACTGTTGTGAGTTCTGAAATTCTCTTAACATGTTTCCATAAACATCTTTCGGCCTACCATTATTAGAAGAGTAAGCAAACCTTTTGGCTGCCCCTTCTTATCTGCAAATATATACGGAGTCTGCATCTCAAACCGAGTTCATAAATACGCGTTTTTTATCCAAACGGAAAACTTCAAAATTTCATTAATAAAAATACCATATCCATATGGTGTAATACTATCTCATCACAAACAATTTGCTTCTGAATTTAATACAGAACAACTCATCGTTAAAATGAAGGGTGTAAAGTGATTTGTAGTCATGTGTCGGCACGCTGCAGTCCTACCACGTTGCCAAGCGACGGCTGAGTGCATGTAACAATCGCTGATGCCAGCCGTCCATCTCACATCACCTACTGACCGTGCGCCAAAGTCGTCCTCGTGGGGGGGAGAAGTGGGGGAACTCCGGTACGAATCTCCTGTCCCCTCACCGCCACACTCTCACGTTTTCAAACAACTAGAACGTTTTATCACCACACCGTATCACATGGGTGGAAGGGCAGCAGGGAGGAAGTCTGAGACCGGTAGGCGTGGCATTCAACAGAGCTGCAATCCTATCAGAAACTCCGGTGTAATCTCCCCAAAACCTCGACCACCAATCCTGGAGAAACCCGCGCACAGCTTTTGCCAGATCGATCTTATTGGTGTGGAAGAAAAATTCGCGATACTGTTCATGTTACAATTTACTATTATAACAAAAAACTAATTTCTATAATCAATACAAATAACAGATACATTTATTTCGAGGAAAACTACTTTGTTTAAATGTAAGAGTAACAAATAATAACGACTTCTTCATCACCCAAATCTTGATACCATCAATAATTAATTGACAAACTTCCACAGCATTAATAATTAGTGAACTGCCTAATTAACCAGAAATAAAATTCGCAATTTCATGTAATCATATGGGTATGATTGGATGCAGAGGTATGGGTTGGTCCATGGCCTAGACAGACAACCACTGCCAGAGTTGGGATTCCCTGCCCCCCCTCCTCGTCTCACCCCTCCTCGAACTGCAGAAGTCTACGTCGTGTAACGAGAGTGACAATCTGTTGACGTACTTTGCGGTGGGTGGTACGTCATCCACAGCTCCAAAAGTGGTTATCTGTCTACACGAGATTATGCCAAACTACACAGACGACGAAGAACTTCATAGAGACCAAGTTCCTGTGATATCAACCATAGAAATGAACCCTAACATCAAGATTGTGAGGGGATTAGGAATAATGGGCCAGCCAGAAGATGGTTTGTACTTGGGTGGTGTAAAAGCCAACAGTGACTCCACGAACTATTAAGAGAGCGGTGGTTTAACGAAATCTTCAAGAACATTCAACGTCACCATCACAACCACCAACGTCATCAACAGTCGCCTCAACATTATCGCGTGGGTGACATCAAGGAAGGAAATCGTGAAAGATGTGCTAAAATTTAGAAATATTTCCTGTTTTACCGAACATTCCAGTGGACATGATAGTCGGGGACTCTTTAATTGAAGCAGAATTAACCAGCACGAAATTCCAAGGACAGACATTAAAACTATTCGTAATGCAAAGAATAAAATGGGGAACGCACTTGTTAGTATAGCTGACTATTTTACGACATCATAGGGTAATTATAAATACATTAAATTAATAACTTCTGGCAAATCAGGGCAAGTGTGTGCTGTGTTGATGTTAACACTGTTTACTTGGCAAGTGGCATCTTTAAAACTAACAGGAAGAAAAGAGACCCATATTTCTCATTCATTTGTCGCCGACAAATTACCTTTTACGTGTGAATTAAGTCACTGATGCCTCATCATTTAACGAGCGATCCAATGGAACTGATTATCACATAGATTAAGGATATTTGTGAATGTATCATACAGACAAAGGCAGGTGAAGATAATGTGATACTCAAGGTAGTGGATCACAGAGTAAATTTTTGTCGACAATTTTCAACGTGGTTATAGCGATGGAAGTGTCAGTACCCGCTCCGATGCCTCTGGACTTCAGTATCACGGTGAAGTCCCGGCAGGACCCATCGCCCTCGAGTCCGGCGGCCAGCGGGCTTGTCCTTCCCGCCAGCGTCGCCTCGTCCAGCGCCGGACTCCTAAAACTGCTCAAAGAAACGGGGGTTGCGCGATCCGGAGGGGCTACATCCTCTGGAGAATCGAGCAGCGCTTTCAGGGTCGTCACCCCCAAAGGAAAATGTGAAGGTACACAGTTATTTTATATAAATAATCCTCTAAATACGTAGTTTACAATCATCACGTCAGCCACGATAATATAAAGTAATTAGTACAGCCAAAATCGATGGATTTTGAGACGTATCCTTAAAATGTAGATCAGCTACAGTCTAGACATCACGTAGCGTAGAGCCAGTAGGCTACTGAACACAAGATAAAGTACTGTGGTCTAATTGAAGGTCTAGACCCTACTGTTCTTGTACGAAGGGTTCATAAGAATAATCAGTCGGCTCTTCCTGTATGAATCGATGTAAATATTTCGAATGTTACAAATGCTGGGCGCGTTATTGCTGAGTTGACTTGTAGAGAAAGCAAATAGGCTACATTAACCAAGTCGGTGATAAATAGTGTAATCAGTTTGATTATTAAGATTAAACGATTAGAATAGAAAAAAAACAGAATAACGGCGACAAAACAAGGATGAGAAGCAGCGGTAACCATTACGAACCTACAGGCCTCTAACCACAATGGCTTTATTAGGTAACGGAAGATTAATTTATAAGTCCCTATCATTGATTTGCGCTATGTTATGACAGTGGAATCAGATAATATAAATAATTAACATGTTCTTCAAGTCATAAATATTTATGTTGCTTCGCAATTCCAAGAGCCAGTTAAAACACAGGCTACTTCTGGCACAAACGTTTAGTCTGCTCAATCCACAATATCCTTTTTTGTAGCAGGCCTACAACTTCGCAATCAGCTGAAGACCAACCTCAGTTCTGCTGAAGGATAAACTCTATCTTTTTAATTTCCATCGCATTTTAACACTTTGCACATAGTTTATAATTAGAAGTAAGGAGAAACACGTTGATTCTCATAACATGATTCTTATTTAAGCAGCCGCTTACGAAAATTATTCCTCATACCCGAGAATTAGACTACATTGATAGTGCCACTTAACTTTAAAAATTGTATTAGACAATCCGACAGGCTACATAAATTTATTTACGTACAAAAAAAATACCAACTTCTTTCCTCACGTGGAGACACGAACTCAGGGCTATTAATACAACTATTTCCCTTTAGCTGACAATCAAGAAAAGGGTTTTATGTGTTTATGTCATATGATATTCTCTTTCACACGCAAATGCTTCGAGTCAAGTAACTACCTGATCATAAGTGCTATTTCAAATCATAAATGCAGATTAAAATGAGTCGCTTGTGACATCACAATGGAATATTAATTACTGTCAAAGTAATGAAACTCGTGCAGAACTGTTCCGCCTGGCTGTCAGCGATGTTACAACTACGCAGCAGCTAAAATCCAGCTTCAAATTATGACCGCAGTAACACTGACTGGCAGGTATTTTATGTAATGAGTCTCTGTCATATATAAAGATATTTTAGTATTAATATTAATGATGACACTGGAAATGTGTATTGTAATGAATTGAAATAAAACAAAGAAAAACACCGAACGACAATTATTTATTCACATTAAGAACACAGAGCATCTCAGTATAGACCTATATTGAAGTCTAGTCGATGAAATATTCTTATCAAACGTGATGGGTATAGGAAATGGAGATGAAAGACTTTTGATACAGAATTAAGTACTTTGTATTATAAGTAATAAGTACTGTTTCCTTGAGTTGTTGGCATTTACTCATCTGATCAAGAAACTGACTGTCTCTCTGCAGTCTGAAGTTCTGTTACGTACATTATTTAAGGAAATTATCAGAATAATCATGAAGCACACTATTATTCTAAGATTAATTTCAATTTTATCCATTACATATGCTTGGTAAATGGAAGTAAATGGTTGTAATGCCAAAAACTGCGTTTGTAAACTTGCTTTAAACTAGAACAGGACTCTTAAAGAAAAAATGCATCCAGTAGAAACTAATTCATTTTTAAATGGAATGGCCATTATAAACAAAATTGTACCCATATGTTCTGCTTAGGAATTAAGATATTTATTAAGACGAAGTGCTTTTAAATTTAACGTCAACACAGTTTCCATAAATAAATGCAGAATATCTGCTCATATTCGTAATGAATATTCCAACAATATGAAATTAGGAAAACCTAAAAATACAGATGGGCCTATCTCGAAAAAATAATTAACGCTGATGCAGTACCTGGTGTCTGATGTGAGGATATGAAATTATTGCGAAGAGCGTGAGCCAGGGTCTAGAAGTCATTCAAATTTTAAAATAAAAATCTAAGCCAAATTTAGCTAATTTCTAGAGCTATTTAAAAATAAAATTAATATTTTTTAAACTTCAACTTCTACATCTTTATGCTGTTACATTATATCCAGAGAACACCTAAGAGGCACACACCTACTAAAAATACCATAGCCCAATATAACTAAACTCTATTGAATAGTTCAGTCACTGAAGAAGTGCTACAGCGAACGGACAGTGTCTTACGGGCTCAGGTGTGAAAATAGCTGAAATCGTGACTCAACGACCTACCCTTCACGATCATAGTAGGCCCACTTAGGCACCTACAACCGGTTACGCATAGCCTATAAACAAATCAGAGAAGGGCAAGTGAATTCTTTAATACTGGATATTTGTACCTATTAATTAGAAACGGCGGCAACCAGAAATGTAATAATAAATACCATTGTATAGTAATATTTTAGACTCTTCTTGATGAAAATATAAGTCCATGGCCACTTTATCTGGCAATGATTATCCATAAAATTTTGTCAGTTATATTAAACAACTTTTATTATATTTTACACTGAGGCTATTAGATTGTAGCACAGCAATTTTCAGTTTTCATTTACCAGAGACCTATCTTCAAGATGTAATAGTCCCTCAGATATACCGCTGAATAGCCTATTCATTATATCAATACCGAATATTTCATATAACTTATAGGGTATCAAAGAGGTCGTGAGTTCAATCTCGATGCAGACACAGGCTAATCGGAATTAGGTTCTTTTGTGGTTTCATTTGTCGCTCCTGGATAATACCACGAACGCTTCCATGCAAGTTTTTTCCAATTCATTATCCACTAATCATTATATATTACATATTCTAAGATACTGACATTGAACAGTTTTTTAATAAAATTTGATAGTAGATTTTTTACTAAAATTTATCAGAACACTTAAATTTTGGCTCAAAGAGGTTGAAAATAACTGACAATTTCGTTAAGATCTGCATGCACGCATCTCCAGCGTTAATTCGGGTGTGACACACTTAATATTTATCAGAACTAAAATATTTATGGACATAGGTTTTAGAGAAAAAAAAGTATTTTATATCTAATAAATTCTCTCCATAGATCATTCAGTTATCGATATAACCAAACAAAGATTTTTATACTTTGTCTAATGGCACTAAGGAAAGTAAATGCCCCAGAATTATTACGCTATGTTTCAGTACTTTATGACAATGATAAAAATTGCTACAGATTTTTTGCGACATCGCCAGTTCCAGAGGACTGAGGCACAAAATGTGTGAGGACTATACAAAATATAGGTCACTAAATACCTATGAACCTGGAAATTATCTTACTAGAAGCAGATTTCAACGGTTCCTTCGGCTTGTAAAGACACAGTCTGCAGCAAGCGTGTTATAATAGGTAATAAGAAATAGGTATTTCACCTATGATTTAAAGTTTTCACGACGGTAAAGATATCTGTTATTCTGGGTTGTGACGCCGTGTGGACTTATAGGTAAATACCAACGTTTCGGGGTAGATGCAGGCAGGATGTTCCTTCAAGTCCACAAGGCGTCATAACCCAGATTATTGCAAACGGGGCGCGGTGGAAAATAGGCCTATTCGGACAGGAAATACTTCAGTAAAGACAGAGTACAGGAATTCTAACAAGGAAATTCCTAACTATACCCATCAATAAACAGACCTATTACAATGGAGATTAGATCAAGAATGCTAAGGTAGGTTTGGCATGTAACATGCGTACCGGAAATGTGAAATGCACTAAAATGTAAGTTGAGAGACAGAGAAACCAGTTGGGGGAGGCAAGCGGAAAGGGGGTGGAGGAATGGCGACATTAAAACGGATATTAAAGAAACTTGAACAGGAATATGTCAGGATTTGGGATAGGTCGGGATAGCCAGGGACGGCTTTTAAAAACAGTGTTATGTGACTTCTGATTCGTTAAAAGGTAGGGAATTTATTGATCACTTAATTTACCTGTTTGCTTCTTAACAAAAACCAGATTCCACGAATTTTAAATTTTTGACAAGATGATCACAAACACAAAATAACATAAGTAATACACCGGAATAAGACTCCGTGCATTATCCGATTTAACAATTTAATGTTAATTAATACTGGAATTAAATAGCCTAATTGTTGCCGCTTATATACAACTAATGTTTTTAGACTGTTGGATACGGCAGACATTTGATCGCCACATTTCCGTGTGACTAAAATACAAGGCAAATACTGATTTATAATCTGAAATTAAATTGAAACTTGAATGTTTTCCGATATCAGCTAAAGAAATGTTGATATGGTTAGAGTTTGCCTGTGATTTTCCATTCATTTGTCGTGGAGACTAAACAAGGCAATGATCAATCATAACAGATACGATTCAACTGCCAGCAAAGCAATAACAACCTCGCCGACTATCTGCCATTACTCAAAATAACTGCAATATGTCAGATTAATATTAAACATGATTTGATTTATTCCAATAATTGCTGTGAATAGTCTATCTTCATTGATTTTACAACCTACGTATTGCAAAAATTGTTCATGCGTGTTACTTCTAAACCTGTTTGAATATTTTTATATAATACTCCGGCCCGTTTATAAACTAAGCAAAACAGCTCTAAATGCCTTTGTAAATTGCATGAAAATTCATTAATGCAAGTTCCATCAAATGTCTTTACTCAAATTGAGAGATTTGTTCGTTTTGGTCAGAATGCAGTCAACACATTTCAAAAAAGAATTACGCTTAGTTTTGAAACAGAGACGTAAAGAACAAATGAAATATGAAGGAAGACGATTGTCTTCTGGGTTGCAGCCCCGTGCAG